GTTGTAATTAAAATCATTAAAAATGTTAAGATAAAAATTTTAATTTATTAAAATAAAAATTTTAAATAAAATTAACATTTCAAGTATATTCACAAAAATAAGCCATGGTTTCTACTCTAAGGATTATTAGGGTAAGAGTAATGAAGTAACTTTATGAAATAATCTAAACATGCTCCTGCCAGAACAAGGGAAGATGGGTCAAATGACCTCTAATTATTCTTCACAGGTGGATGACCTCAAACCCAAACGTGTCCTTATAGTTTGTTCAAACTGTTTCTGCCATTAAGTCATAATGTACATGTCTTTTAAAAGGACCACCAAGGAAGTAACAAAGCATAATGACCTCAAACACAAAAATTAATTTTATTCATATTTATCTAATATCCCAGGTTCAATTTCCAAGAAAAAATTCTAAACAACGCATCATGAATACTTAGCATCTAAAATGGCATTTTAAGGCCTGATCAATTATATTTCTTAAATAAAAAATTATTCACATCATAGGCTAAACTCAAGTTTTAGTGTACTCCTATTACGATCAAGAAGAGCAATATACAAATGGCGTGGTATACAAATACTGCTATGACATTATCCAGTCTACTTATACCTGCAATCTGTTGCTTTAGGAGGCAAAACGTAAGGAAAAAGTAGTTCGGTAAGTTTCCTTAAATAGTGTAATTCATCTCTTCGACTCCTCAAGGCCACATGAAGCTCTGGACCATATTCTTCTAAAGCAGCTTGCTGTAAAAACTCTGTATTTTCAACTATAAACAGAGATAAATATTGAAAGAATTTAAGCAACATTAAATAACTTCAGTCATTTCCACTAACAAATAAAGAAATCATTTAATGTAGTCATTCCTTTCTAGCCCTCCTTTCTTTCCAATATGTATTGCCCTGGGAAATTTTTCACAAACAGAATTAAAAATAAAGTGATTTTCTTCTTGGTTAGAAATCTTTAAATTTTGAAATAAGAAGACCCTTAGCCTCTTGGCAAACAAGAATTTAAACTTGTGTCACTGCCTTACAAATTATATTAAACAAAAGCAAATGTTTTTTTTTTTAATGGAAAAAACTACAGAAAACATCTTCTAGCACACACAAAGCTTCTGTTATCAAATATGACATCTTGTTCATTCTCTGCAAATACAAAACCCTTCTTTTTAAAATTCTCTATTGTCTCACTTTCACATCAAAAATCATTCAGGTTAACCTTTTAAAGTGATTATGGTATAAAAATAGCTTTCTTGCTTAAATTCTGTATCTTCTGCCCAGAGGATAAGGACATAAGAGGTATAGAATTCCTTATACAGTTATTAAATATTAACTGATAAGTTGTAATAACAGTTTTCTTAAAAGGCCAAGCACTAAGCTAGTATTTTAAAACTTAAAAATAATAGTACTGCTACTCCTTTTTACAGACCTCAAAAAACTAGGAGAAAAACAAGTCACACTTTCCCCTATTTGCATTCTGTGTCATGTTTTAAAATTGTGGAGTTTGTAAAGGGAATCTTAACCCTAATTCAATGGTATTTATTTCTGACTATTTACTCCTATTTTTATTGAAAGAGAATGCAAGCACATTCACCAAAAAACCAACATATGCATTCTAATAGTGTAAATACAAAGAAGGTAAATGAAGTCTACCTGAGCCTGAGGTACTAAAGCAGGATTAATAAAGGACTTAGATTTTACAAGACATGCATTTTATTATATAATTGTGCAATTATTTGCCAAGCATTATTCCCCAAAGTCTTTTAAAAATGTATATCATTAGCAGTTTTAAAATAAAGCTATGATCTTGAACAAATGATATAATTCCTTTGAGCCTCAATTTCTATATCAGTAGTTATTAGTTACTAACACTGAAAAGTTGTCATGCATAATATGTAATTATAATATCTGGTGTGATTAACCATTCACACATAATATATAAATTAAATCACTAGATTGGAATCTATTCAACATCTGTCAGATGTGAGAGGTATATGTAGTCCTAGGTAATGAGAAAATACGGGAATCAGGCAAAAGATAAAAAGAATATAAAGGCGGAAAAACCTTAATTAAGAATATAAGCAAAATATAGATGCTAGAAAACAGAGAATGCATTAATCTCCACTAATTACCAGTATATCTACTGCCTAACCAGTCACCAGTTTTCAGACCATAAAGAAAAGTCCCCAGAATCCATGACAAAGAGGTATCTTCAGGATGAAAAAGGTCCTTATGCATAATTATTATTAAATTTAAATTTAATCAATGCTTCTAATGTATATATGCATTCAACATTTCTAAGGGCCATGGAAGTACTTACATAGATAGAAAACGTCTATATAATCTCTATTATTCTCAAAAGGCAGATTAAGGGGAGAACATCAAGAGATCAGGATGAATATGGATGAAGAGATAAACCTTTATTTCCTGAGTAATGCACAACTGTGGGGCCAAAAAATTTAGAAAATAGATTCATAAAGAAATGAAAAATTAAAATTGAGAACCATTTTTACATGTTTATCTAATTTACTGTCATAATATTTAGACCCCCAGAACCTTTGGATAAAATAAGAGTCCTCCGAACCCTTTGGCCTTTTAATTATATGAATTTCACTAATAATAATGTTATTAATGAATCCAATCTAGCATTTAATAGTGATTTTTTAAGTTGAGGACCATTTTTACATGAATAGTAGCAAATTAGCAACTCTTATCTTGCAAAGACTCAACAATAAGTTTCAGTCAAACTGGACTGTCTAGAAGTGTGTGTATGTATCATCGTTCTCATAGAAACAAAATAATTTGGGGATTTTATTAAACTGATCAATTCAACTAACAATAAAAAGATGACTCCATTTACTCACAGGCTGAGTTCAAAGTACTTGTCTTTAGAATAAAAACTATATTAAAAAATACTTTGCTAACTCAAAAACCTACACACAAATGTTTATAGCTTTATTCATAATTGCCAAAATGTGGAAGCAACCAAGATGTCCTTCAATAGGTAAATGGATAATACGAGCAATAAAAGGAAATGAGCTATCAAGCCATGAAAAGACATGAAGAAGCCTGAGAAGCCTTAAATGCATATTTCTCAATGAAAGAAGCCAGTCTAAAACGGTTACCATATGACTAACTGTATGACATTTGTTTAAAAAAAGCAAAACCACAGAGACAATAAAAAGATCAGTGGTTGACGGCAGTTCAAAAAGAAAGGAGGGAGGGATGAATAGGTGAAATACAGGGGATTTTTAGGACAGTGAAACTATTCAGTACAATATTGTAATGGTGGACAGATGGCATTATGAATGCATTTGTCAAAACTCATAGAATGTACAATAAAAAGAGTAAATCTTAATAAAAACTATACTTTAATTAATAATGCACCCTTATTGTACATCAACTGTAACAAATGTACCGACTACAGCAAGATATTAATAATAGGGGAAGGGGAAGATAGACAGGAATTCTATACTTTCTGCTCAATTTTTCTATAAACTTAAAATTTCTCTAAAAAATAAAATTTACTAATAACACTTCTCCTATATTTTTTTTAACAGTAACCTTAAAAAAATGGCTACAGGGGTTGCTCCATAGTGTAGTGGTTAGCACGTCTGCTTTACACGCAGAAGGTCCTGGGTTTGTGCCCCAAGTGGAGCCACGGACCATGCCAGACCATACCCCGGGGTGCACCAGGCCACAGGTGCACGCCGTGAGAGATGCCTCGCCTTCAGAGATTCAGTCTTTATGGAGAAACAGCAACATCCATAGGTCAGGGGTGGAAGTGGGTGGGGGGAAGGAAGAGTTAAAAGAGGGGGGAAAAAATGGCTACAGCAAAGTTACTGTCTCTACTATGCTTTTGCCAGTAACACAACAATAATTTTAAAAGTTAATTTTTTTATTTAGCAATTAAATTACACATATTCAAACTCATACTTTTTAGCTATGTTGAAGTAAAACTACTTTTACTTGTTATAACATTATAAGATGAACACAGAAAAAAATTTTAAATATAGAATTTAAAATGTTTCTCATACCTGAGGAATTATTCATACCAAAGATTAAACTAATAATTTACTTTAAATTCAACTCTGCCTAGAACATAACTTGCCCAAATGTACTCTAATTATACTGATTGATATTATGAGGAAGGGAAAACTGGTTTTATGCTCAAATGAGTTTGGGACATGCTGGGTTAAACAAAGTTAAAGCTATTTCTTTACTGCAGGACTGCTCAGAGATTTTGGTATGCTAATACTTACTGGAAATTTCCAGAAGGGGAATACAATATGTAATAATTACCAGAAAATATGACCATGAAACCTCTCCTACATGATCATCTTACATAAAGTAGTATTCTGCAGAACATACTGGGAAAACATTGACAAAGAATACCAAATGAAAACACAGAGAAAATCAGTTTGGCAAAGAACCAAATATAGAGCACATAAGTAGTTCTATTAAATAGGAACATTTCAGCTTGTTCGAAGAGCAAGAAAACTCCCAATTTCATTCATTCGATCGGAAAAAATTTGCTGAACATATGCTATGTGCAAATCATGACAGTATAAAGGCCAAGACACACATGTGAAACTGCAAATAGGTCATTCTGGCTATAGCATAATACATAGTGAAACACAAGAGTAGATCAAAATATTTGACTAGATAGGAAAGAATTAAATATACAGTTTAGACTCTACAGCAGTCATTAATTTTTGTTTGGTAGGGAAATAACAAATAAGGAATGTGAAATTAACATGGTAACAATTTATAGGATGGGCAGAATATAGGATATGTAGTATATAGGAATAGGTTAAAACTGCTGAAATTGTTGAGAAAGAGGAAAGAGATTAAAATATACCCCTGAAGAAGTAATGAAGGCAACAGACTATCATTCAAAAAAAGTCAAGAGTAATCAACAATATATCTAAAAGTTAACTATATTTTAGTTTTCATAGATTCTTGAGTTTTCACAATCACTTATACAGTTAACAAACTACTGAAAAGTATTTCAGTTTAAAAGAATACTCTCACAGAATTGTGAATATATCAGTTAATGTATCAGTATTTAGATATTTAGTTGAAAGTTGGTGTATAAAAACAAAATCACTCAAACTTTGTAGTAGAAAACTGTATTACCTTTCTGACTGGCTTTAACTATCACTTCTATATGCTTCATTGCTGCTTTTAATAGTTTCTTGGTTATAATAGATGGAATATCCACCTAGAAAATTCAACATTAAAATAAAACTTTTAAAGTAATTATCACTAAGTTACAATGGCAGAAACTATATGTTTAAGATATTAGAATATACGGTCTTAAAAATTATAGTTATTATTTGTAATCTTTCAAAAATATAATTTAAAAGCACTTTATATTCTTGGATCATACTAACCTTAACTTTAGAGAATTTTGCTACCACAGCAATGAAAATATTTTAATGTGTATAAGGATATGCATAAGGATACCAAATTTTTCTCACAAAATAATCTTTATTCATGACATTTCTTTAATGTGTTTGTTTTAAATGTATTCAAGGAAAAACTTCAAGTAACTTATCATCCCTTTGAGGCTATAAATTTTTGTTTACTAAGGTTACTTGAAAATGAACTTTTTTCATTCAGCTTACAAGATAAATTCTGGTTTTACGATATATGGAAGCATTCTATTTTGGAATAATATTAAGTTTCATCATTCCCCACAGACATTTTTCAATTTAAAGGCTGGAAACTATAGTGACTATGGTAGGTTATTGAAAGAGGGTTGTAGGCTTATATGTACACACATAAAAGAGACAAAAACAATTAAGTAACTAAAAATAAATTGCAAATAAATCACCAAAAAGTGGGTTTACTGGACTTTGACGGGCTTATCTTCTACCACAAAACTCAACATATTATATTTCCCCATTATTAAAGGCATGAGAAAATTGCATCACAACAATGTTAAGTTTTGTGTTAACTTCTCAGTTCTTTTTGAATTCCGTATTAAGGAAGAAAGAAAATCACCGGCTGATAAATCTAATAAGCATGATGGATCATAAACCCCCAATATTTAGTGATTTACTAATAAAACCCAGCACAGTTTACAGATATCTTTTGGCTATGTAAGATCAAGCACATTCAATAAGAGGGGTTATTTTGCTAGCAGAATGCCTTGTTGCAAAATAACTTTACTCTTCAGTTATCCCTGGCCTCTTGGTACTCAATGATTAAAAATTATTCTCATATTTATCAAATAAACAACACGTTTTAGTTTTCAAACATTTTATAAAATCTTGTCTTCTGAGAACACTTATGAAAATTTTCATACGTAAGTTCCATTTTAGAGACTTCAGGTCAGAATCAAAATGGTAAAATAATGAATTTGTCACTAAACTTAGATTTAAAAAAAAAAAAATCTGGACCTTAAATGATTTCTTGTTTTCTTTATCCCCAAACTGTCAGTTTACAATATTCGGGCAATGGTATGAGGACAGAACATTGTATTAGGAACAAGCTTCATTCTTTGCCCATTAACTACTTCTAATGCTTTGACAAAGTTACTTTCTAGAAAATGAGTATGATAATGATCCATTTACCTCCCAGGATAGTGACATAGATAAAATAAAAGAAAGACTATATAGCATAACAATCCAGAAAAATGGAAGAAATTTACAAATCACATATCAGATAAATTACCTGTAACTTATACATATAATATAATGAACACTTACAACTCAATAATAAGACAAATAACCCCATTAAAAAATGAGCAAAGAATGTGATAGACATTTCCCCCAAAAAAACATACACGAATGGCCAATAAACACATGAAAAGATGCTCAACATCATTAGTAATCAGGGAAATGCAAATTAAAATGACAATGAGATACCACTTCATACATACTACCATGGTTAGAATTAAAAAGTAAGATAACAACCAGTTCTGGCAAGGATGTGGAGAAATCGGAACCCTCATACACTGCTGGTGGGAATATTAAATGGTACAGCCACTTTGGAAAACAGTCTGGCAGTTCCTCAAAAAGTTAAACAGAGAGTTACCATTTGACTCAGCAATTCCAATCCTAGGTACATACATACCTGAGACAAATAAAAACATGTTATCTCCCACTCTAAAAAAAAATTTGTACATAAATGCTATGGCAGCATTATTCATAACAACCAAAAAAGGGAAACAATCCAAAGTTCCATCAACTGACAGATGAATAAACAATATGTGGCATATCTGTACAAGGAAATATTATTCAGACATAAAAAAGAATGGAGTACTGATATATCCTACAATGTGACAACATTAATAAACCTTGAAAACATTACGCTAAGTACAAGTAACAGTTCCAAAAGGCCACATATTATATGTGGCCATTTATATGAAATGTCCACAACAGACAAATCTACAGAGATAGAAAACAGACTGGTGGTTGCCTAAGGAGGTGGGGGAACAATGGTTTATGGCTAAAGGGTAAGAGGTCTCTTTTGGGTTGATAAAAATATTCTAAAATTGATTGTGGTGATGGTTGCACAACTCTGGGAATATTCGAAAAAACAGAATTGTACACCATAAATAAATGAATTGTAAAGCATATAAACTATATCTCAATAAAGCTATTAACAAAAATACACATAGCACACTCTGAGTATGAGGTGCTATGATTTTAAAATCACTACGCTATCTCAAAGCCTAATATAGCAGAGTTGTTTATTAACTAATACCTATAGATGAATTCACAATGAATCGGCTTTTTGATCATTTAACTTTATTGACTTACTCTAAGTTATAATTTAAATGGTTTATCATCAACCAATTGTTATTCTTACTAAATCATTTATTCCACTTAAATTGTCTACTGAGATAATTGCCTCAGAACTCTTTAAACAATATTTTTCATGTTTATCAACTCTTTTCTATTTACAAAAATGACAAATGCTCAGCACTAAAAATAAATGATGAACAGAAAGAAATTCAGGGAAAGAACCAAATGTCAGCATCAACTCACCACCATAACAAGTATTATCAGTGATAAAGATATACATGACCTTAATATACATATTAACTAGCTTTAATATGTAAGCTTTGTTTTCAAAATGGAAAAATGCCACATGTACTATTTTCCAGCCTTTTCCACTTGACTAAGATAATTTCCCATGTAAATAAGTACTATTTTCCAAAATGACTTTTCACGGCTGCATAGAATTCTATAGCTGGCACGTATTACATTTAATTAACCAACAATCATATTAAGTAAACATCAGTTTTTCATTATACTGCAATGAATTTATGAACATACATTTTTACATAAACTGATTATTTCTTTAAAATATATTATCAAAAAATAAAATTAAATGAGTATAAACATTTTTAAGTCTTTTTAATAAAAATTACCAAACTGCCTTCCAGAGTAAGCGTGATATTAATTTGGATTCATAGTTTCTCTGCCTGTTTCCCCACAATCACCATTACTAGATAGTATCGTTCTTTTTTTTATCTTTCCCAACATGATAGGCCAAAAAAAAAAAAAAAAATGGTATCTCATCAAAAAGCTCTATTTATTTGACATGAGACAATATGGTTTCAGGTATTCATTGGCCATTTTACATTTTTCTTTATGAACGGCTTATTCATTTTTTTGCATTTCTTTTCTACAGTGGGCGACTGTACTGTTCATTTCTCAAATAGGTCTAGAAACATTTAGTAAGATTTATCTTTATTTTACCTACTATAGGCAGAGATATTATATACTAATTTTTTTGTCAATATGGTCAATTCTATTGAATTGACAAGACGGTAGACAAGTATGTGCATCTACAGCTGATATACCGTAAGTATATCTATAGGCAAAGACCCTAACATACACAAGATATGGCTCAAAAAAAATTTTTAAGTGGGTCATAATCACTACCATTTACACAGTAAAATGACTGAAATGGAACACGACTGTTTTTCTTATAGTTCTCTTTTTATATCTAATTGCCACAAACTAAAATAGCCAAGCATTAAAGTGAAACTGACCAATGAATAAAAAGTGATCCCTTCATCTTTCAATCTAAAAAAAACCAAAAAGTAAAGAAAATGCAAAAATACAGAGTACAGGACAAAGTAAATATAAGATTTAAAAAACTCTCTTTAGTAATACTAAGTCTTCAAATTCCCAGATTTCTCATTATAAGTACATACCTTGTGAATCCTTCGAATTAGAACAGATGCAAAAAACCGTAATGTAATCCTCAGTTCATCAACAAAGGACTCATCATCTGTTACATCCCTTCAAATTGAGAAAAGCAAGCATTCAGAAGTTCAGAGAAATACGCAGCTTCACTATCTAGAAACCAAGGAGTCTAGAGCTTCCTCTTGTCCATTTACTTATGCTATTTTTCTTTTGTTTAACAAACAACACATTATATTACAGAATAAGACAGAAACGTATATAAAAGAAAATAAATGTCTCCCATAATTGTGGTACCAAGATATCACTATTAATAAAGTCATGTTATACATTTCTCTGTAGATATCCACATATATGTAGTCATATTTTTATAATACTAAGATCATTTTCTAAGCATCAGCAAAGAAACATCTAAGAAACAAAAGAGAATCATTTTGGAGAAACAATAGAATAAAATTAATATAAATTTTTAAATTAGTTTAAAATATTAATAGATTAATGATATAAACGAATTCCAATGGTAAAAATAAAAATGTGTTCTATTTAAAAAAGAAAAACTAAAATTCAAATGTTTTTAAAAGGAAATTTTGACAACCTTCTTCTGAGGAGCTACTTTTCACTATCCTGAGGTCTTGAGGTCCCTAGAAGAATTAGGACACTTCCCCAATCAAAGCAAGAAAAAAAGGGATGTATAATGGTGATATCCTGAACTTGAAGATGGTGCTAACTGTTAAATCCCTTGGTAGAATAAGGAAGACAATTTTACTGACCATGTTTCCCATTATTAACCCTAGGGAAGGGGATATTACAGCATCAATAGCTATAACATTTAGAAATACAGCTAGATTTTAGGTCTTAAAGTCATAACATTGGCAGGGGGGCTGGGGCCAAGGGAGTCTTTATAACGGGATTTATTTTACAAAATGCTTCAGCATTAGCTTTACTTAAATGGCAAATTCCCCATATTTAAGACAGAATCTAACATTTAAAAACTAAGTTAAAATAGTTTTTCAGGAACGTATGGCATATAAACTGGATATTAAATTTGTTTTAAGACACTATAAATCAATTCAACTACTAAAATTTAATTAGAAAATTCAAAATATACTGAATCAATATAAAATTAGGGTATGTCATTAAATATTACATCTATAAGTCATTTAGGTATAAATGTTCAAATACATAACTAAATACCTGATGCTTATGTAAGGAAATGTGTTTATTAAATAACATAACTTGGATTTATTATTCTCAAACTATATTTTTTTCAGGCCTAGAGTTATTCCATATTCTGCAAGGTATTGGATACTTGTACATTCACAGCAGATACCAGAAACAAAATTACTTTGGAAAAAAATCTTAATATTCCAGGAAAATTCTATTAAAATTATATTTCAATTTAAGGACACATCTGAACATAAATTTTTCCTCTAAATGTGCAATTATTTCAAGTGTACTAAGTGCATACACAATAGTAAATCGTTATATTTAGGAGTGATAAAAAAATTCTACAAGTAATTTTTCTTTCAAAAAGCAGCCTAGGGGCTGGGGGGCTGGGAAAAGAAGGTGAAGGGATGAAGAAGTACAAACTAGTAGTTACAAAAGTCATGGGGATGTACAGCACAGGGAATATAGTCAATATTATTCTAATGGTGCTGGAGTAACTGAGGCATCACTTATATAAATGTCTAGCCATTATACTGTATATCTAAAACTAATATAAAAAATAAAGCAGCCTAGGATTTTTCCTCTTTATTGTCACTAAACTGTTAATTGATTGCCCACATCAATGGTTAAGTGAAGCCATTATGCCTCCCAGGTAACATTTGGCAATCTCTAAAGACATTTTTGGTGGTCACAACTAGGAGGAAAAGGGGGTGATACTAGCACTGCGTGGGAAAAGGCCAGGGGTACTTAAGTATCCTATAAAATCACAGTTCAGCACTACCCAACAAAGAATTACTTGGCCTAAAATGTCAATAGTGCCAAAGTTGAGAAATCCTGGCCTACACTAAAAACCCATCACGAGCACACTTCACTTAATGGTATTCACTATACTAACGAAAAAGGCATAGAAAGAACATACCTGTAGAAAGAACATACCTGTACCACGGATAAACAAAGTTTTCCAACACTAATTCAAGAACCTAAATAAAAATTATTTTAAAAAAATTAATTACTTCTGGGAAAATAAACTACTACTAAGTAATATATCTACCAAGAACCAATTTTATTATCTCAATTTTTAACATCATATACATGACAAAAGGCATGTTAACTTTACATGATTGTTGTGATGGTCAAAGAGAACATATACGAAAATACTTTGAAAACCATAAAATTCCATAAAAAAGAAAAATTACTATTAAAATAACACACATGTCTAACTATTCCCACAAGAAGGAAAGTAACAGGCTAGTCTTTTATATTCTTAACTCTCTCTGAAAGTCAGTATTCCCAGGATAAAATAAACAAACAAATAGATAAGACTTTAAAAGGGATCAAAATAGGTGTTGATGATTCCTTTGAAGAGAGGCTAGTGAATAAAAGGGAGCATGAGGGGAACTTCTGGGTTGATGATAATGTTTTGTTTCTTGATGTGGGTGCTGGTTATATAGATATGTTCACTTTGTGAAAACTTTAGCTGTACATTTAAAATCAGTATATAAGTTATACGTGAAAAACAAAAGAAATCCTGGGTATTCAATCTTCCATTTCTTGAATCTGGGTGTAGCAGTATGAATCAATTTTTAAAAGGACTTGCAGCAGTGTTAGTAACTTTAAAAAGCAGTAGGGAGGGAACAAAACAATGTATCTAACCTGACTATATACCTATATACCTTCTCCGACAGCACTAATGAAGGTCAGGGATTCTCTAAATACTAAGGCAACAAGATTAGGATTCTCTACTACCAAAACTAAGCGTTAGGGATATCAGATGGTATATAAATAGGGAGAGGACACAGAGAGGAAACTAGAAAATTTACCATTAAACATTTGGTCTTACTTTATCCCCCATATCTTGTAAAGACAATCACCAAATCCCACTGATTCTACATCCTAAATAGCTCTTTTCTACAGCTCCACTTGTCAAGTCCTCATCTTCTCACCCCAAATTGTAGCAATAGCCTCTAAATGAGTCTCCCTCTTCACAGGCTAGCTCTCCTCCCCAACCTCCATAGAGCTGCCAAAGTGATCTAAAACTGTAGTCCCCAATCACCAAATCCCACTGATTTTTGGCACCAGAGACCAGTGCCAGTGATGCCTAATGATGTGAGGTGGAGGTGAGGGAGTGATGCTAGCGCTGGGGAGCAGCTGCAAATACAGATGAAGCTTTGCTTGCTGGCCCCACTTCCTGCTGTGCGGCCCAATTCCTAACAGGCCACGGACCAGTACTGGTCCATGGCCCAGGGGTTGGGGAACCCTGATCTAAAACATATCTGACCACATCACTTCTTTGCATGAAACCCTGAATATATCAAAACACAATATATCAAAAAAGAAAAGTGGAGCTGCACTGATTTTGAAGGGGCAAGAGAGAGCTGCATACCAGCAACTATGACTATTTACTTCCTTTTTCACCTCCCACTGCATCCTGTGAGTCACATCTGAAAACTCTAGTTACACAGTTGAAAATCACAGCTTCCATGATCAATTAAACTCCTTTAGCATGGCCTTGTAAGTCTTTTGATGATCTGATTTCTAAAGGGCCGCATAAAAACTGGTTAAGAACTAAGCCAGACCTGAGTTTTAGATTGAATTCTGCTACCAACCAGCCATGAAACTTGAGAAAATTACTAAAACTCTAAACCCCAGTTTTGGTTAAATCATCTATAATAGCACCTACTTAATATGTGGTGTGATTACGTGAAATAATACGAGTACTGTAATTAACAGTGCCTAATATATAGTAAGTGATCAATAAATATTAGTACTAAAATACTGTCTCTTCATTGCCCACATCCTCCTTCGCATTTTACCCTACAGCTTACTGAACACTACACCTT